ATCATCTCTCAATGGAAATTCCCCATTAAATGGCGAGATTATAAATAAACCTGTTAAGTACTCGATAAAGAGTACGGCTCGCACTTAATTATATCTCAGTCGAAAAAAGAAATAAAATTGACTTTAGCAATGTTTCATACTTTGAGTAAGTCGATTTATCGACGAAAGTTATTGCGAAGCCTTCCAAAAATATATCAGGAATATTTTATGTTTATATCAACACATTTTTTACACAATTAATTCAGTACTACCGTGTGCTAGGGAAAGATCATTAGGTCTCTCAGGTGTACCAGAGCGAGTTTACGTGTTAGGTTCCCAATTAGTTAGCAAACTGAACTAGGTGAGTTAAGTTTAAAGATCACCACAGACACACAAGCACGAGAGTGAAAATTTTTATCATTTTTTTGAAACCTATTTATTCAAAAAAATCTAATTCAGTTCTAAAAGAAATTTATTTGCATAACTAAAGAAAAGAAGTCAATAGCTTAGCCTAAGCAACCAGCTGCTCTCTACAAGGATGTAGAGAGCCGAGCGCTACTAACACGTTATCAGTATTTTGAACTTCGCTCTGTCCAAGATATGCCTTCTCGCGGTAAATAATACTTGTACTGGAGGTAAAGAAAGCTGTCACTAACTAAGACACTGAAAGGTAAGATTTAAAATGAATAAAGAGTTTAAAAATGAGATAAAAAACAAAGTAAAAATATTTGAATAAGTTTTCATATCTTATCTATTTTTCACTCGGGTTGATTACTGTACCGAACTCAGGGTGAGAATCAACTTTGTTTTCAATCAACGACACCTTTAACACATCAAAAACATCGAGTAAAAATATCAGTATTCGAATCGTAAGAAATATGAAATTTATTCGCTTCATCATTGATGTTTTCTCGCTAACAAACCAAGATATCATTAACTTTTTTCTCGGCTTGAGTTGGAGAGTGCAGTGAATAAGCGCCACAGACTTCATTAAAACTTAATGGTACGCTTAGCTCTTGGTTCAAGTTAAGGGTGGATTACAATACTAACAAACTGATAAAAAATACTATTTTACTAGCGTAGCAAAACGTTGCTTTTATCATATCTTACTCGATTAAAATGGCAAAAAAACTGGTTAAAAAAAATTCAAAAAAAAAAWTTTTTTTTACCAAGTTTTGCCATCTTTTTATTTTTTCACAAGATGTTATAACTCATTTTGAAATGAAATTTCCCCCACGCGTTTAGAAAGGTTTTCCTTTATCTTAGAAACTAAGACTGCTATTTGTTTATTTATGACATTATTTTGAAGTTTATGAAWGAAAGTTGAATTTATTTCCTTCAGTACATTTACATTGGTACATCGTTTTCTTTTGCCCGGCTAGAATTAGTGCTCTAAAGAAAGCTAAGGAATATGTAGATATTATGTTGTATGAATACAGAGGCAAAAACCTATCTCCATTAGATAAAAAAAGGCTTTAAAAAAATATGACGCAAAAATGTATAAAGAAACGACTTCTAGTAAATGTAGTTTTGTGCTTTGTGCACTTTAGGTGATATATGGTGATTTTCAACATGGATGTAAGATATTTGATCGGATGGACTTTTGTAGTTTTGGCAGCGGTGACTTACAGCAAAGGTAAGACAATGCAATGAAAAAAGGAAGGAAGGAAGGAAGGAAGGAAGGAAATATAAATCTAAATTAAAGTATTGCATTAAACTATCTTATGGAATATATTAAATGCAAGTATATTATTTCATGAGAAAAAAAGGAATAGGAAAATTCAAGAGGAAAAATGGAACAAAAAAGGCGGAAGATYTTGCTTACTGCCATTTCTAGAAGCTATTTTAGTTTCTGACAAATAAAAATTAAAAATCAATTTAATTAAATATCTCCGTTTTTTAAATAAATTTTCAGGATCGTATAATGTTCCCTGTGGACATCAATTCATACGTCGATCAAGAAGCGATTTCAAGAAGACGCTGTCCCATTTGATTGACAAGCGAATAGTGGGCGGGGCTGAGAGCCAATTTGGGGAGTGGCCATGGCAAGTTGCTTTGATGTTGGACGCACACCAAGTGTGTGCGGGCTCACTTATTAATGATCAGTGGGTTCTTAGTGCAGGGCACTGCTTCATGGGTAAGTTTTGGAATTTTGAGTTTTAGCATAGTATTAACTAGTCTCCTTTGCAGCCGTTCTTAGGGTCGTCCAGCAACTTTTCCCTCCCCACAAACGTGACGTTCGTGGGGAGGGAAACGTTGCGTGACGACCCTAAGAACGGCTGCAAGGAGGCTAAGTATTAACATATCACTACAAATATTTGTAAAATACAATCATGTACTGGTGAATATCAATAATGAAACAACAATGACCTTTTGACACACAGTGTGCGGGATTTAACTAGAGTAAAAATAAAAGGTTAAAATAAATAAGTATTGAAAATGCATTGTCCTTGTATTTACATTTTCGACGGGACCTCGTTCTAAGATTTAGTTGGAATTTCTAAATTTAAGAAATTGGTTCTGAAACGTTTTTGTTTTTTTGTTTTGTTTTTATTTATTCATTATTATTATTATTATTATTATTATCGTTTATTTATTCATTCATTCATTCATCGTTTTATTTCGTTTTATACTACTCGGTTTGGTTGCGTTTCGTTTCGTTTCGTTTTGTTTTTTTGTTTTGTTTTTCTTGTTTGTTTTTTTTTTGCATTAAAATGTTTTTGATATACATTAAGAATATCAATGGCCTTTCAAAAGGTAAAAATTCGAAAATATCTTTTCGTTATTCCATATAAGATCCAATCACTGACTGAGGCCCGGTCATTTGCAATGCATTTCAGTGACAACCAATCCATCCCTGTCACATCCAAGTAACATCCATTTTATCTCAATAGCATTTTAATGGAGAAAAATAAGTCGAAAAAATATGTAACGATCAACAGAATTACCTATAGACACATGATGTATACAGTCCTTTGAAAAATCTTTTCCGCCGACCGGCTTCACTTGGATTTCAACCAGTGCCACAATCCAGAAGATTTTTAAAAAATTGCCTGATGGCTCGCAGCAAATAAAACAAAAAACTAAATTAGATAGTAATAGTCTTATCTCTTCATAATAAACTTGTCGAATTTACTATCTAAAGGCTGACAAAGAATACTGAGTGAATCGTGAATAGCTAATTATCTGCCTGAGATCATGTATGGTTTCACTAAGTAAAATTGACCAATAGGGGACAAGTTACAAGAGCGATGATAAAACATATTAATTAATGACTTAGTTACTTGTCGTCGGTAACTGATCGCTCCATGGTCGTTCTCCTTGATCGAAGGTGAGTTTTATCCTACAAAAATCAAACACACTTGCTAAAACTATATTTCGATAATCACGTAGATAAGTAGTTAGCCGAAAGTATAAATTACTGTGTCCATGCTAATATTATGACTGATATATCGCTATTACATTTTATCAATTATGTTTGAACAGTCCCAGCCGGAGAAAAAGAATATCCGTCAAGTTCAATTTACGTAAAAGACGAATACTCGTAGTGAACAGTTTTATCATTTCCTTAGTTTGGTTCCATCGTAGTTTTCAATGACCTCTGCTTGCTACTCAGTACAATAATTTGTTATAATAACGAAGTTGGATTTACACGCTTTGAATTTTTGGGCCTTTTGTTACTTGTTAAAAAAGGTCAATAGCGTACATAATTAAGATTGTTGACACCTTGCTATTGGCTTTGAGTGAGCAATATGTTCATGAGGAGCTTTGGTCAAAAAAGTTTAAACTTTGATTGACATAAAGTAGTTTCATGTTATGTTTAGCGACACCTTCAAGGTATCACAGTCAAAAATTGCGTTAGAGCAGTTTGTTTTATTAAGAATACACTATAGTAGTTTCATGTTTCATGTTGTTTTAAATATTTTTTATCAAGCATTCGACTGTGTGACTAAAGTAGACTAACAACTCTACGATGAGCCTGAATGAAATCATATCATAGCAGAAAACTCTAATCAATAGTCGGATTTTGCATTAACGATCTCCTAACGGTTAGGTATTTCATGGAACGATCTCCTAACGGTTAGGTATTTCAAGGAACGATCTCCTAACGGTTAGGTATTTCAAGGAGCGATCTCCTAACGGTTAGGTATTTGGTCAAGTATCGATCTCCTAACGGTTAGGTATTTCAATTAACGATCTCCTAACGGTTAGGTATTTCAAGGAACGATCTCCTAACTGTTAGGTATTTCAAGGAACGATCTCCTAACGGTTAGGTATTTAAGTAACGATTTCCTAAACGTTAGTTATTTAAAGTAACGATGAAAATGCATCCTAAAGAATAGATACGTTGTAAACAACGTCAATAATTTCGTGCGCATGTTTTTCACTTCCCTTTGTGACGTCATGGAGATAATGCTGCGTAGCACTTAAGACGAAATGACAGGGGACATCGACTTTAGCTTTAATGTACGTCTTATACGAGTTTAATTATAACCCTAGCTTGAGTCATCAATAGAGTGCAAATAATATACCCGTGAAATAGATAGCTARCTAACTAATTACTAACTTTGTGCTATTGGTTGCCTAAGTCTAATTAGTTAAAGAAATAGGCGAGCCGTGACGGGTAAACTAGTGCACGTGTGCTACTCAAGGGCGCGCATTTTTAAATATTTTCAAACACACTTTCAAAAACCGAAACGATATTTTATTGTACATGCTTTTCCTTCGTATAATTTTACATATTCGCATTTTCGCATCTGATCATTTGTGTATTGAGTTGTCACTCTAGTAAACGCCCGTTCCCTTGTCTTGCCTCACTGAATTCCTATGTCTTGTCTAATCAAGCGCTAACTATCTCCTATTTCATCCTAACTATTTCACGGGTATATTATTTGCACTCTATCACAGAATCATCAGTGTTGGTTAGTGTTTATCGTAAAGACTAGGAGTACACGTTTACCGACATTTTTCACAGGTGTCTGCCGGTTTAGGAGTAGTAGCACTTTTTTTATTTTCAACAGGTTTCCATAGAAACAGCAGTCCTGCCCGTGCTATTCGCGATATCCGTGGTTCATGTCATGGAAACGGCTTTACAGCATGTGGATTTTTCATCGCTAAGCCAGGAAGAGGCCACTGCTCTACAAAATGTCCTATTACGACAAAAAGAGTTCGAAGAACTTAATGGAATTCGACGAAAGTAATAAGAAGTTATGTTATTAGCCTCACGTGTCAGCCATGTTGTCTAGAACAATAGATTCCTCCACTCGTAGCCACGCATTCAAGGGCTTGAGAATGAATTTACGTGGGTGGAACAGGTTTTATTTTCATTTTCTTGAGGATAAACATAGCTGCCACGTGACTAAGGCCCATATACCAAATGCCAAAGCTACGTTCATGTTTTCTCTCTCAGTTCCCATTGGCTAAGACGGGAGAAATTTTACTGTTTCCCCGCAACCGTTCTCAATATTTTTCATCTTTGAATAACTAAATAAAACTGGGAGTGATTTCACCATAATGCGAAGTTTTACAAGAATCAAATGATTAAAAAATCTAATAATTACTGTGTTCTGTTTGACACAAAGTTTGTTTTGAGGTCACTCGATGGATAAACGTCGTCTTCTCTGGACCATAGACAGGCCCAGGTGCGCCATGATGCTGCTGCATGCTGATTGATATAAGCGTTCAAAAATGTTAAATTTACACTGTGTGATGCTCATCCTCACCCACTGTTTCATTTTCACAGGGACTTGAGATTAGAACTGATACAGTTAGAAGAAAGGCTAGCTTTAGCTGAGAAAAGCGCAACAGACAAGCAGCTTTGTCAAATTTGTTTCAAGACCAAAGTAGCTGATGGTTTGCGGTTGAACTGCAGGTTCTGCAGCCGTAAAACATGCACTCGATGTGGACACACGGAACTTGGTAGAACGGTAAGCTTTATTTGTTTAGGCTCTACATAATATGGCGGCACTTATAGTGCTCTCCACATTCCGCTGGGCATATGTGCAGTCCAAGGGGAATAAAGAGAGATAAATCCAGTTTTGCTGCTCAAGCATTGCCTCAGTTTTGTGAAGATGTGTTTTCACTTGTTATATTGGATGGTCATCAAACAAGCTCTTTGTGTGTGTATTATATCGATAAAAGTTTTGTATCTGTAATTTGCCCGATTTTATTTTTGAATATTTTTTGATGCTGAATCGAGGTAAAGCCTGAGTGAATGAGTCTATAATCATGAAGCACTGCAGTAATTTATGAATTGGTTCAAGTTCCATTCCTCATCTGTATAGTATTTCAAATACTTTATTTAACGATTCACAATAAAATTGCTTCCTAGAGTTGGATGTGTCAACTCTGCTCTAAAAAAAGACACTGTCTTACTTGTACTGGAGACTGGTACGTTGGCAATGAACCTTTATCTGCAAACGCGCAATTTTTTCTTGATAAACTTGGAGAAAGCAGCACAGCCAGGATGTCCCGGAGTAGTGTGAGGGAGCCTACTATTCCACGATTCTCTACTAATGTAAGCACCCAGTCCCCTTCACAGTTCCCTGCTTCACTTGAAAGGTAGTCATTCCTTTAAATCGAAGCGAGACGGACAGTAAGCTTGCAATGACGTGAATAATTGTCCAAGTGCTAAAAAAGGTATCTATTATTGAAGGAGTCACCGTTCGTCTCTCTTCAATGCAAAGGCACGGCTATATTTCAAGATGGCGCAGGAAACTGTGAAAGGGACTATTGATTCTTCTCAGTTTGATTTATTAATTTCCTGAAATCTTATAATTACATGACATTCTCTATAACCATGTCCAGAATGATATAAGGGAAATTCTTCAAAGCACTTCCTCAAGAGGAACATCTATTGGTGACACCCAAGATACCTATAGCTACAGCGTATGTAACGAGCCTGAATATCTTAGTCTTCCAGTCCACGAACCCAGACGACGTGGTTTGAGCGAATTCAGCACTGAGAGTGAATTTACGTCGTGTTTTTCGGTATCGACATATTCTGATGGGGGGATGCCTGCATTGAACCTAGTGGAACCAACAGATAGTGAATGTGACAGTTCCGACAGCTCAGGGTTAGTGTTGATCACTACGTGATAATATGATTGGAGTGGGGGACCCTGTTATTCATCACATGGGTGGGTGAATGGGTGGGTGGGTGGATGGATGGATGGATGGATGGATGGATGGATAGATGGATGGATGG